GGTATTACCATAATTGTATTGCCAAACAGTGAATACAAGACAAGGTCAGAAGCTGGGAATTCTGAAGTAATTCCCAGTGCCAGTTCATCACTAAGCCACAAGAGTGCGACAATGCTATTCCAAATGGTTGTATTATTGCAGTTCCAACAAGAGGCTCAGCATTATCCAAGACAAAAAAAGCCCATTTGCTCCACACCCATCTTAACCACTTTTCCATCGATGTAGTGGCTACAACACATGCCATGTACAAAATACATTTCAAAAGATTCAAAGCCCCTCAAAGAACCTTTCCAATAGGTTTAACTTCACAAAAATAAGTAACCTGCAAGCACAATGTGCCTCTCCCCCACCCAAAGATGGAACAATGGTGCTACTCTTGTACTGTCACTAGTTGTGAAACTCCACCTTTTAGAGGGCTGTGGGTGTAATCGCATCAGGTGGGCTGCACCAATGCAAGCAGGTGACTCACAATCACATTAAAATAAGGGATGGTCAACAAAGGCTGGTCTTCAGTGATGTACACATCTCATGGGATAATTAAAATGCATGCCCTCAGACAATCAAATTCAAGGTCTGACAAGTTCCAAGGAAGGGTCACCAGAACCTAAACATTAACTGATTTTTCCTCAGATGCTGCCAGACCTGCTGAGCTTTTCCAGCAACTTGTCTTTGTTCCAGATTTATAGCAATTGGAGTTCTTTCAGTTTTTATTTAATACAACAGGACTTTGTTGATAAATTCCAAGTTTTCCTTCCAGACATGTCAGATACCACGAGGATTTAAAGCATCCATACATTGTCGTAATTATGAAATCATTCAATGTTTCTCAATTTTGCTCTGAATGAGATGGAAAGGGAAAAGGGAACCGTATCAATTAATTGATTCAGATTCAGATGGAAGAAAAGTCATGGATAATCTGGAGCAAGATATCAGCAAGCAGCCCAGAGAGCAGGTCATGCATTCATGATTCACAAATCATTAATAAATGGATTAACTCAGTTTTCAGAAGGTAAAGTGATGAATGGACTCCAAATAATGTCGATCTTGCTTTGCACACCTCCTGTGCAGTTTAGCCTACTCATTTCACTGTCCAACCACCCTACAATCTGTATGTCCTTGCTACTCACAAAGCTTTTCACCGTATTTGGGTATGTGACATAAATCAAATCATCACGTAAATCTGCTTGTAGTATGTCAACATTGAACAGGCTATTCTTAAAACAGCTGAAGAAAGCACACCCAGATGGGATTCATTTGGGGACGTGGTCCTAGACCATATAAATGGAAACAAAGTGCATAGCAAGTGCTTCTACAGGGTGGCAGAGCAGCAGTGGTTGGTACTGCTGCATCACTGCCAGGGACTGGGTTCAGTTCACTGTCTGCACGAGTTTCTGACAGGTGCTCCAGTTTACTCCCACAGTCCAAAGATGCGCAGATTAGGTGGATTGGTCATGCTAAAAATTTTTCCATAGTGTCGAGGGATGTGCAGGCTAGGTGGATTAGCTATCGTAAATGGGGGCTTTGTTTTTTTTTGGGGGGGGGGGGGGGGTCAGGCTGGGAGGCTGTTTGGAGGGTCAATGCAGACTCAAAAGGGCCAAATGGCCTCTTTCTGCACTGTAGGGATTCTATGATTTAATTGAGCTAGAAACATTACTTCATACATAAATTCAAAATTAGCAAGTTTGCAAACAGGTGGTCAGATTTAAACAGCAAAGACAGTGTGTTGAGCCCTTTTGAAGAGTTTTTGTGCAGGTTACTAGTAAACATTTAACATTAGAGCTCAAGCAGGTACTGTTGTGCATGCACATCATGCAAGCCATCTTGCATGTTCAATTTTTTTGGTAGACACCTACAAAATCAGTGTAATTATGTTCAATTAAGTCCATCCATTAGATGTGTAAAGATGCTCTTAAGTATTACTGACATCAACAGCTGTCAGAATTTAAATAGCTTACTTGATTTCTGGAGAACGAGGTGGTGAAGGGGACCCCTCAGAACTTGCTGGCAGTACAGTTGGAGATATGGATGGCAACGACTCCCGTGGTATTCCCGAAGGTATAGTGTTAGTGCTTGCGTCAACATTTATACTCTAAAATGGAAAGAAAAAATCACTGTTAGAGTCCTATTTACACTAGTCCCAGAGATCAGACACAGTAAGCTGGTTTCAATATGCTGAAAGATTCCATTTGTCTTAGAAGTCACCATACTGTTTAATTTAGTTGCAAGCATTAGTTTCACTTCCACTACAATCCTGACAGCTTAAATGTACTTCCAATTCATGCACAAAGTACATACTGAGAACAATTTTGTACTCAATTTTCTTCCAAGATCACCAAGTAGCTTGCTTAGAGAAATATTCCTCCTAGTCATCTTACCAAATTCCTACCTGGAGAATGGATAACTGAATTAGTACATGTTGATAATTATTAATATACACATTAATTCTTAAATTACAGGCAATTAGATTCTTGACATAGTCAATTATTGGCATTAGAGAAAGATAGCCACTAATTGACATAGCCAGACCTGTAAACCTCAAATGAGAACCAAGTAATCTGTTGTTTGAAAGATTAATGTTGAGTAAAAACAGCACAACATTCTGCAGGGAATGGAAAGTGTAGAACTTTATGAACCAATTAACCCTGAATTTAGCTTCCTTACACATTCACTTCAACACAGTTTATTCCATTTCACCTAGAATACTGCAACGCTGTAAATTTAACAATGATCTCAGTTGACCCTGTCGAGTTAATTCAGCAAAGGCACAATTCTTCTAAACTACTTCAGGCTAGTTTTCACTACGATATTCTAATACTTGGGGGAGGCACGTACTTAAGATGGGGTGAGGAGGGGATTCAAAGGAGATGTGAGGGGCAAGTTCTTTTGCATGGAATAGGAATCTGAAATGCGCTGCCATGGGTGGTGGAGGCAGATACAACAGGGACATTGAAGGGATTTTTAGGTAAGCGCATGAATATGCAAGGAATGGAGGGATATCGACCAAAGGGAGGCAGAAGGGATTAACTTAATTTGGTGTCATCTTTGACTCAACATTATGGGCCAAAGGGCCTGTTCCTGTGCTGTACTGTTCTACGGGCAGTCCAACTTCCACAATCCTCTCCAAGTTGTATCCCAGTGAACTGTCTTCATCGTGTCAAGCATATTCCAATTCTCACTGATTTCTCTGAAGGGGTGAGCTGCCTTTTCATGATCATTCAGGAGCTCAGCAGCCATCTTGGTTCTGAAGCTAGCTTTAATGTAGCAGATAGTCAAGATACTACCAATCCACAATTTTCTGAACAGTTTAAGCTATTCAATGGTGGAAGACAATGCAGGGGTTGAGTTTAGCTTATATTAGTTCTGAAACTCAAATCCTGCTTGGAGACATGTACAGCATCCTTCTATTTCATGACTTCTTCGATTCCATGGTTTAAAGGCTGTAGTTGTGCTCTTCAAAAGTTCAATGATTGCAATACCTGTAATATCTGTGCCTTCTCTTTTGGAAGTACTTTGATCACATTCGATAGTCTATTCTCAAGAACCTCTTCAGTCTTCAGATTACCAGCAGCTCCAGGCAGAGGAGGAAAATTAGACAACCCTAGTTCAAAGTTAGGTGATGGTGGCTTGGGTGGTGGAGGTGACTGCGTCTGGGATCTCTGCAAAAACAAAAAGAACAAAATTGAAATAACTATCCTCACAAATGTCAAAATGCACTTAAATTGCAATCACTTAGCATCCAGGAACACACTTCCCTATTATCAAATTGATAATTAGAAGCTACAAATGGCTATTAATAAGGTATATTACATTGTATGTCATGCAACGACTGCTAACAAGAAAATCTAATGCTGGCAATAGCAGCAGACCTGGAAAAAGGGTCAAATAATAATCTTGCTGTCAGAGACCCTTTAGTGGAAAAATGTGACCATGACATAACTTTTCCATTGGGATAAAAGTGATGTCCAATCTGAAATGAGAGAATCTAAACAAGCAAAACTAAGCACCAGCAACAAGTTGGCCGCAATTGGATAACTTCATTGTAAGTCATGGCAGTGGATAGATAATGGTTAATATTAAAGCAATGCCTGCATTCCAAATTATTCATTGCTTTCTGGCACAAACAGAAAAAAGTGGCCCAACCAAAAACAAAAGTTGTTAGACAAGGTAGCAAGTTTGAAGAATGAAAGCAGTTTGGAATTCAGTAAACACTAAAGGAAAGGGAAAATACAGTATGAAAGAAGACTTACAAAGAACTAAAGAGCAGATGAAGGCTTTTTATGGATAGAAAAAAAAAGTGTAGTGAAAACAAAATGTAGGCCCCTTACTGTCCGAAAGAGAACGATTGATAATGGAGAACAAGGAAATGGCAGATCAATTAAGCAACTACATGAACCCTGCCTTCACAGAAGGCAGCAATGCTGGGGAAGCAAGTCTGAGAGAAGGAGCAATTGAAACAAATCATTAAAACAATGTCAAAGAAATCAATGGGGCTGATAATATACATCCTGTGTACTGAATACGGTGGCCATAAAAAGTGGCTAGATTGTTGGTTCTTGAAGCGAGCTGGCAGATTGGAGGGTGCTAAATATACCATTGTTGAAAAAAGTGAGGGAGGGTAAAGCTAGATTTACAAAGAGAAATCACGATCAGCCAATCTAATATAGTTGAAGGACATAACTTATGGAATTAACAAGGGGAGAATAAAAACAGCGAATGTGGCAAATTTAAATTTTCAGGGAGCTTCAATAAAGTTCCACAGGATATTAGTGTGCAACCTTAAGGTGAGACAAACTGGGGGCAACATAACATGTATTTTTATTCTTGAATGGGATGTGCGCGTGATTGAAGGTCTGCATTTGTTGCCTGTCCCTCACTGCCTTGAGCCTATTGGCCACTTCAGAGAACAGCAGAGTTCAGAATATGCCACGTGTGTTTGGAGTCAGATGCAGATTATAAACAGGCAAGGAAAGCAGTTTCCCTAAACAGACAACTGAATGGCAGCGATTACATCATTGGACAAAAGCCCTAAATGATCATTTTACAGGTAAAAATCCAGAAAGAAAAATTCCCTCCAATATGTCGGTTTGATTTAACTGCTTCCTCTCAATTCTAGTCCCAGGTGCTGTCAAGTCTTTTTCCAGAAACACACAACCGAGAGCTTGAACCATCAGTCTTTCAATAATCTACAGAACCTTAGCCAAACACACCTGGTCTAGAAATTTACAAAACATACTCTACCACCGGAGTTGATTTATTTCCTTAACTGCTCTCAATGTGTCCCTTTTCTAGGAAGCCACGTACTTGCTTTGGACCTCACTCAGGTATCCTTTCAACTGAATCCAAATGGATTTTAAACTAAAGATTAGGGAAAAACCATTTGCTCACCCTAGATTCTGCTACAGTTAACACCATGTTTTCATCATAAATCCCAATATATAAAGCAGCTTCCATTATTGTTCCCACGAGTCCTCAAAGTCACCCACTTCACAACACACTGGGCACTCCGTACTTCACTTAAGATTCAGTTGTGAAGGTCATTGCTTTAACATTGGCCCCAAATTTGGGGCCATGGTTGTGGAAAGTCTATGAAGTGGGACAGCATGGTGGCTAGCACCGCTGCCTCAGTGCCAGGGACCCAGGTTAAATTGCAGCCTCGGGTGATTATGTGGAGTTTGCACATTCTCCCCATGTCTACATGGGTTTCCTCTCTCAACCCAAAGATGCGCAGGTTAGGTGAATTAGCCATGGGAAATGCACGGGTCTGGGTGGGATGCTCTTCAGAGGGTTGGTGTGGACTCAATGCACCAAACGGCCTGATTCCAAACTGTAGGGATTCTGTGATTCTATGAAATTCAGCTGTTTCAATCCAGTGAACTGCCACCATGCTCATATCCTTGTGTTATAAAGAGGGGTACAGGCCAAATTCTGGCAAATGAACGAGTTTGACCAAATGTCTGTTTCTGTGCTGGAAAAAACTTGACGATAAATTTGTTGTCTGAAATAAGCAGAAAATCTAGAACACTATTCAAACAAACTTCTTAAACACATTCTCTACCAGCTACAAAAAGGTGCACAATGTCAAGTCAAGGCTTCAACTGTTTCCAAGTGACACACCCATAAGTGGCGTGTTTATGAGACTCAAGAGCCACAGTCTGCATCTTGTCACAAAAAAAATTGAAGGCAAGAACTTAACTAAATCAAGGCTACGCTTCATTTTCATCACCAAAACAGCAATTATTCAGCCTCAAGCAAAGGTCCACCATCTCAAACAAAACCAAATTAAAATAATTGTGAATTAACTTAGAATAAAGTCATTGCACCTGTACCAAGAGATACTACCAATCTGGCGATGTATTTACCTGGAACTAGGAAGTTAGCATGCTGTTAAAAACAGTTACACCTCATTTAATAAGTTGCAACTTGTTTTGAGGGCTTCAATGACAAGACTAAAATTGAGCAACTGCCACTCTATTTACTTGATAACAGTTTGGGAGTGTCACAATTGTACACCAACTAAAAAAACAAAATCACCATAAAGCAAGAGCTGCAGTCCCACTATTCCAGATGTTGCTGTCAACTTCAGTGGAATCATCAGCAAGAATGCTGACCGTTTCACTACCATTGCTACTGCAAAATCCAGGCCAAGAAAACATTTATCTGATTACAACGAGATTTCACTTCGATGCAACTTCAGTTGAAAAGCATCCCAAAAGTACTGTATTAAACTGCAATTATGCCAAAATGGCTCCAAATCTAAAAGAGATATACGCAAGGAATGACAAGATTTAGAAAAATGATCTTCAGTACTGCAAGAAGGGAAGGTTGAGCAATTACGTAGGAATTACAGAACACAGCCTAGAAAGATTGAAGGCACTGCTGTCAATAGGAGGACAAAAGTGGGATATGGAAGGGGCTGTAAAATGGTTGAAACAAGAATTTTACTTTGCTTCAATGTAAATGCAACATCGAAGTATATTAACTTCATAAGTGTTATACTAACTAAAACAGAATTATGAATTCAAATCCTTAGCAAAGCAACATAGGAAGTGGGAATCCAATTCATCTGTTCACTTCTGCAACAAGGCCAGGAAACATCCTTGAAATACTGCATGGCTCGTTTAACGAACATTCATTCAGGTCTTTCATACTTTATAGCATATCCAATGACTGCAGTTCCATTTTGCCCTCTGGAGGCGAGGCAAGACAAGACAATGCAAGGTAATTAGGAATGACAACCATTTTTTCCAAAAAAAGCTTCATTTCAAAAGTTGCCAATCTCATTGCATGCATTTAGACAGAACCAAACATTCAAGCTTTTAGTTCACTCCAGGAAACAGTGGACTCAGCAATCTACTATTATTTACAGCATGTCTGACAAATAAAGATTAACATTGTCTCAACAGTAAATAGTGAAGTTGTTTGGAAGGAAAGTTGTAAATTGTGGGGTAAACATTTTGCATTCTACCAGGTAAAAATTAACTATCAAGATTTTCATCTTTGAGGTGGAGCATATTCTGCTTCAGATGAGATAGTTATAGAGTCATACGCATGGAAACAGACCCATCAGTCCAACTAGTCCATGCTGACCATGTTCCCAAACTAACCTAGTCCCACTTCCTGCATTTGTCCTATACCCTCCAAACCTTCCCTATTCATCAACTCCTCCAAATATCTTTAAAATGTTTAACTGTACAAGCCCATTTGTATTATATTGCCCTCTGGAAGCCAGGCAAGACAATGCAAATAAGTAGGCTACTGTTCTACAACAAAAACAAAGTTGCTGGAAAAGCTCAGCAGGTCTGACAACATCTGTGAAGAAAAAAAAATAATCAGAGTTAACATTTTGCGTCCGGTGACCCTTCCTCAGAACTGCAGGGTAAGCTTGGCCAAGCGGAGGAGGGGCTAGTGGGTGGGGATGGTTCAGGTCTTTGCTCCAGGAAGAAGCAGACAGCCCTAAAGACCCTCCTGGTGGAGAATGGATATGTAAAAGGGATTGCATGTCCATGATAAAGAGCAGGCAGCTCGAAGTTTTGAAACTGGCATAAGGAGAATCATGGATGTACGTGGGTAAGGACTGGACCAGGGGAGAGAAGACTGAGTCAAGGTAGGAAGAGAGTACTTCTGTGGGGCAGGAGCAGGCTGAAACAATGGCCGGACAGTCCCGTTTGTGGATTTTTGGGAGAAGGTAGAAGTGAGCTGTGCGGGGCTGGGAGATCAATCGGATGAAACGAGATCAGTTACCGTACTGGATACAATAGCCTGATACATCCATGCTGTATGACACTGAACTATTTATTTCAGATTTCTCTGGTTTCCATGTCTTTCTCCACAATAAAAAACTGATGTGAAATATTTTTCCCATTCTCCAATAGCTCTTTTGCTCTTCATGCACTTGTAGAATCTCTGGTTTATCCTGGTACCTTATCTGCCAAGGCGCTCTCCTCGCACCTTCCTCATTTCCCTCTCAAGAATGCCCTTATACTCTTTATACTGTGATTGATTTGATCCCTTACTTTTGACCAGAGCCTCAATATTTTCATTTGTCAATTGTTCTCTACTCTTACCAGCCTTACTTTCACTAACAGGAAGATAATCCTCTTAACTCATTCTCATTTTTGAAAGCCTCCCACTTATCAGATATCCCTTTACCTGTGAAATCTACTTCAATCAACTTTTGAACGTTCTTGTCTCATACCACTAAAATTTGCTTTATTCCAATTAAAAACCAACATTTGTACAAGGTTTATCCTTTTCCCATAATTCGATTAGTTTTAAAATAGAAATGATCACTCATCCCAAAGTGTTTCTCTACCAACACTTTAGTCACTTGCTGTGCGTTATTTCCCAAGGTCAAGTTCCTTTTCTGGTAGGTACCTTTACATAATGATCATAAATTTTCTTGATCACATTTAACAAAATGTTAACTGAGCTACTCCAGAGAACTGAGCACAAACCAGTACCCTTCTATATAGTACCACCACAAACTTCACATGATAGTCATTAAATAAATTCCAACTTTAAAAAATTTTCATACCGTAAACTTGTCTTCCCTTTTCTTCCTGTATCCATATGAATTCTTCCTGGATTGAAAGAAGAAAACTCCTTAAAGACTGATATCCAGGCAAAAATCAATTTAAGTTAATACATCTATATTTCACATCACAAATAACTATTTTAATATGGCCTTTTTCACTAGTTAAATAGTTAGAGGCTTTCCAAAGTTACCTAACAGTTCATCAGGATTAAACCACTTAAGATGTCCGTATTATGTTGTTTAGATGATTTCAGATGACATACATGTGGGGTACAATCATGAGGTAAAAGACAAAGAACTGGCAGTCACTGCAATGAGCATGGGCAGGAGCATGGAGGCAGAGACAACAGGGAGAAAACAAAACACTGACAGAAATCAGAGGCTGATCTGTGGGAAATTTAGATTATTGCTGAAGCAAGAAAATGTTTCTTAAACCAAACAAGGAGATAGGCACAAAGCAGGGAGCTACAAGCTAGGTAGCTTGATGTTTGTTATGGGGAAATGTTAGAATAAAACAAGCAGCTTATAGTTGGACACAGTGAAGTTCAAGGTAAAGCTAGCATGGTTAAGGAAAACCAGGTATAACCAAGCTATTCAAATTCCTTGAAACAGGTATATTTCCTGTAGGTAAAACAGAACCTATAAACAGTGAATTCCAGAAGGCATTTCAAATGTGGTATTAAAAGCCATTATGCAAATTAAGTCATGGAGGCAATCACATTAGCACGGATACACAATTGATTGGTTGGCTGTAAACAGTATACACAAAGGGGTCTTCTCCTGATTGGCAGATGTGATGAGTGGAGATCCCAGGAATCTCTGCTGGGGCCACAATTTTTTGCAATTTACATCCAGGACTTTGAGGCAAGCAATGACAAGGCAGTTAAATGTGCAGATGACAAGATTACTAGGGACATAGGCTGTAAAGAGAACACAAAAGTAAGCCGGGCCCCATTTAGACAGGGCATATCTGGCTTCCTTATTTAAACATAACGATTAAATGCATTGGAGCCAGTTCAAAAGGAGGTTTACTAGATTGAGCAGGCTGTCTTATAAGATTGGACAGACTGGACTCGTTTCTGCTGGAGCTTACAAGACTAAGTAATGACTTGAAGTATATAGGATTGTGAACGAGGAAATAATGTTGTCTTCTGGCTGAATTCAGAATAAAGGGGTACTTTTATAAATTAGCAATTAACATTTTCAGACACTAGAAAATTTGCAGAACACTGCCTCAGATTGGGAGGTATCATATTTGCATTTTTTTTAAAAAATGCAAATAAGTGTTTGTTAAGCAAGGCAATCAAAGGCTACCAGGTTAGGTAGGAATATCAAAAACAAAGCAAACTTATTCAATAACAGAAAAAGTTGAGGTCTAAATGGTCTACTTCCATTTCACATGTTGAGAATATATCTGTTAAAAGAGAGAGAGTGGATTCTTGCCATTACTTCCTTATTTGTTATTCAAGCTCACCTTCCTCGGCCCATACTAGGTGATGAATCAGCACTGATTTGCTCTGACCTTCCAATTGCAAAATCTCTCTTATAACCTGCACTACTATGCATCCGTGTCCTGTTGGGTCCAGCTGGTCGCATCTGTGGACTTCGAACACCATTCAACAGACGATCCGTAGAAAAATTAAATATTGTTGGGCTTTCCAAAAGTCCTGGACCACGATCTGTGTTCGGCAATGTGGGGCGCAAATGGGTTTTGCTGTGGTTCCTGCCAGAAATACAAAACTTGTACTGATCTATAAAAGGATGGATCAATTTAATACTACAGATTGGACACAAAACCAGCAACAGGAAGGGTTACAAAATAAGGAACCAGCACACTTTAATACTTTGCTAACAAAATAATTTTGAAAATACCAGGAAGAAAAACTATAAAACGGTATAAAAGTGAAAAAAAAGTATTTAAATAGAAAACACCATGTCTGGTGATTATAAACAATGCTGCAAGTACATTGACACAACCCTATATAAAACTTCTGACCCCAGCTCCAAGGCCAAATCAGTACTAAAACCACTGCCAATTGAAACAAAGACTAGCATTAAGAACTTCAACCAAATCTTTGGGACAAATTCCTCTTAGTAGCAGGATAAAAATAGCAGCTCGCGATAATCAACACACCCTCGAGAAAACTTTCCTTTTCATCTTGGCATCTTTTACAAATTTAGCAATCTACTTCTGTTTTATCCAAGCAATTAATAGAAGGCCGAGCATACAGTGTGCGGCATTCAACTGGGGGGTTACAACTTGTCAACCCAATTGACATTTTGAACTTCCAACTCCAGTATTCATCTGCAGATATAACCCTTGCATATTCTACTTATGAAATTCCACTTATGAAATTTACCTCAGGTTAAATAACCAGAATTTGGACATTTCAAAACACTAACTTTATTGAAATGTCCTAACTGTAATACTATTGCTTTGACTGCATTACCCTCACAAAGGAGTACAGATTTTTCAAATTAAGTTCCTTCAAGAATATTTCACTTAACTTCAGTAATTTTGAACGCAGCATAGCTGTAGAGAGAGAGTTAGGTTGTTTTGACTATAACCATATGAAGCTATTAACAAACTTCTGATCAAAGCACTTTTGTAACAAATGGGGACAGCGTTAAAATGAAACAGCCAGAACACTGAAGAGGTGTTCACATTAGTTGGCCATTTTCTGAAGTGAACATAGAACAGTACAGCACAGTACAGGCCCTCCGGCCCACGATCTTGTGCCGACCTATTATCCTATTCCAAGATCAAACTACCCTGCATACCCTACGTTTTACTTTCATCCATGTGCCTATGCAAGAGTTGCTTGAATGACCCTAATGTATCTGACTCCACTACCATGCACCGACCACTCCATGTGTGTAAAGAACCTACCTCTGACATCTCCCCTATACCTTCCTCCAAACACCTTAAAATTATGTCCCCTCGTAATAGTTAATTCCACCCTGGGAAAAAGTCTCTGACTATCCACTCTATCTATGCCACTCATCATCTAGTACACCTCTATCAAGTCACCTCTCGTCCTTCTTCACGCCAATGAACAAAGCCCTAGCTCCCTCAACTTTTCCTCATAAGACCTGTCCTCCAGTCCAGGCAGCATCCTGGTAAATCTCCTCTGCACCCTCTCTCAAGCTTCCACATCTTTCCTATAATGAGGTGACCAGAAGTGAACACAATATTCGAAGTGTGGTCTAACCAGGGTTTTTATAGAGCTGCAGCATTCCTTGTGGGTCAAACTCAATCCCCCTGCCAACGAAAGCCAACACACCATATGGTTTCTTTATTACCCTATCAACTCGGGTGGCAACTTTGAGGGATCTATGGACATGGACCCCAAGATCCCTCTGTTCCTCCACACTGCCGAGAACCCTGCCATTAACCTTGTATTCTGCATTCCAATTTGACCTTCCAAAATGAGTCACTTCACACTTTTCTGGGTTGAATTCCACCTGTCACTTCTTTGCCCAGCTCTGCATCCCATCAATGTACCGGTGCAACCTACAACAGCCCTCCACAACTCCTCCAATCTTTGTATCATTGGAAAACTTGCTAACCCACCCTTCCACTTCCTCATCCAAGTCATTTATAAAAGATCAGAGCACAGGTCCCAGAACAGATCCCTGCCGCACATCACTGGTCACCGAATTCCAGGCTGAATACTTTCCATCTACTACCACCGTCTTCTATTGGACAGCCAGTTTTGCATCCAGGCAGTCAGAATTTCCGGAATCCCATGCCTCCTAACTTTCTGAATGAGCCTACCACGTGGAACCTTATCAAACACCTTGCTAAAATCCATATACACCACTTCCACTGCTCTGCCTTCAATGCGCTTTTTCACATCTTCAAAAGAATTTGATAAGACTCGTGAGGCGTGGCCAGGCCCTCAAAGCCACACTGACACGTTCTAATCAAACTGTGCTTTTTCCAAATAATTGTAAATACCATCTCTCAGAATCCTCTCCAATAATTTGCCCACCACAGAAGACTGAAGTTGACATTCCAGCTGTATGAAACAGTACAGTCTGCTAAGAAAATCTTGCAAACTGAGGGATGACACAAACTGAATTAGAATGGAAATACACAGTCTATTAACTGAATTATTTTGCACATGTAGACATCTCAAATTTTAAAATTAATGTTCTTACATATAGGCAGTGCAGGAGAAACCCATTTGTAAAAAATGGTACCTTTTCACATTGAGTTTTGATAATATCACAAAAGCACAAGTAAGCTTTTCACAAAGTGACATCTAGTTTTAATTTCAACAATACATGTCTAAATTAATGCTTTTTGTTGAACCATTCTTGCCAAGTGTCTTCCTCCAATAATGGAAGGCAGCCAGAAACAAAAAAAAAGTGAAACCAGGAGCAATACTTGCAGTAGAAGCATGTGTTTTAACCAGGACTTTGAACATCTTTGTTTTGCTCTACATACTAGAAAAGGTTGTTTGCTAATTTTTAAAATTAAAAGTTGCAAATAAATCTAACCTGTTCCTAGGATTATATTGTCTGAGTGAGGTCAAAGGGGCTGTAGCAGATTTGAAGTTTGGAGCTGCAGTAAATCCATTTATGAAACCAGCATTAGGGAATGGAGATACCTGCAAAAGAAATTGAACAAAAGCTTTGAGAAAGGTGTTCTGACGTATAAAAATGACAGCCCAAATGTAGGAAAAAGAAACCAAGAATCCAGGAGTGCTGTGCTATTTGATTTGGTAATTAAAAATAAAATATTTGTTGATAACACAAATTACTGCACATATTTCATTTTAAATGAAGCCTCAAGTGGAATCCTAATCGAACTAAATAATTTAGATCAAGATGACTTCCAAGTTATGTCAACCTTTAAATACAGATGGCACTATTCCTGGTTTTCCAAACACATGGATTAAATCAAAGTCCAGTCAGGAAAGTATCACTGTATTCAAACTAACTACAGGGCTACAGGACAAAGAACAAGTTCATAAGACCAGAAATTGAAATTCTAAGAATAGAAAGTGATATCTGTAAACTAAAGTCCAGTAAAAAGCAGAGGGAAACAGCTGAAGGGATGTTTTTCTGACTGAATCTGTGTTCAGTGAGGTCCCACAATGGCTGGAGTTGGGACTCTTCGTGATTTACATTTGACTTAAATTTTGGAAGGTTGATCATTAAGTTTGCAGGCAACGAAAACTATGGAGTGGTAAACAGAGAGGAAGTCTAAGCTTAGACAAGAAGATAGTTAGGTTGATCAGTAGCAAACAGAAATCAATCTGGATGAATCAGAGGTGATGCCTTAGGCAGGACAAACAAGAGAATACACTGAATGGTAGGACCCTAGGAAGTACAAAGGATCAGAGGGGGATGAGGACAGATGGATAAAGTGGCTAAGGAGGCGCATGGTATACTTCCATCTATTGCCCTTAAAACAAGAGATTCTGACAGGGCAGAACCTAAGTACATCTAAAACAGTTTCTTGAAACAGTATGGGGATAGTACACCGAGAAGAGGGAGCATACTGGACCTTGTGTTGGCCAGTGAGCCTGGCCAGGGCACTGACATTTCAGTGGGAGACTATTTTAGAAACCATGTTCATAATGCGTTAGGCTTTAAAGGTAGTTACGAATAAGGATTAGTCAACACCTTGCAGGAAGGTACTAAAAACTGGGGTGGGGGTGGAGAAAAAAAAACAAAAAACAAAAAACAAAAAAAAAGAAAAAAAAAGAGGGTGGAAAGCAAATTAGGAGCTAGGACTGGTGGACTGGCCTAATAACATTTGACATGTTGGAGCTGTTTATAGACCTAGGTGAACAGCATGTTTCAGTAAGGAGTAGGACAACGTTGGCAAGATTAAAAAAAAGGGACCCCCTTAGATAGTGGGGGAGGTTGTGAATCAAGTCAAAAGGGAAAGAGCAGCATATATGATTTAGGAAGCTAAACTCAGGTTGAGGAATAAAAGCAGGAAAGAACTCAAGCAGGGAACGAGGAAACGGCTTTGGCAAGTAGGGTTAAAAAATCCCAAAGCATTCCACAGATACATTAAAAACAAGAGGGTAACTGGGAAGGTCAGACCACTCAAGGATAAAAAGGACCTTCTGCTTGGAGGCAGAGGACATGGGCAGGATTCTAAAATGAGTACTCTGCATCGATATTCACTAAGGATATGGAGGATACTGAGATTAGTGTGGAGTATGCTAATATGCTAGGGCGTTAAGATCAAGAAAGAAGTGGTGTTGGGACTCAGTATTAACGTGGATACGTCCCCAGAGCCAGATGGTGTCGACCCCAGGTTATGAGAGGGATAAAAGAGACTGCTGTGGCCTTGACCAAGATCTTGGTATCCTTGCTAGCCACAGGAAAAGTACTGGCAGACTAGCAAGAAGCCAATGTTGTTCCTCTATTCAAGAAGGGAAAAAGGGATTACCCAAAAACAAAAACAAAGTTGCTGGAAAAGCCCAGCAGGTCTGGCAGCATCCGAGAAGGATAAAACAGTTAACATTTCGGGTCTGGTGACCCTTCCTCAGAACATGGAAACCAAGAAACTATAGACTAGCAAGTCTCAGTGGTTGGAAAACTATTGGACAGAATTCTTCAGGATAGGATTTACACATTTGGAAAAGCATGGCCTTTGCAGGGCAGGTCATATCTTACTAACTGGATTGTCTTTTTTGAGGCAGTGGCAATGGTGATCGAGGAGGGTAAAGCAGTGGATGTGGTCTACATGGATTTTAGAAAGGCTTTGACAAGTGGTAGGCTCATTCAGAAGATTAAGATGGATGGGATACATGGAGACTTAGCCACATGGATTCACAGAAGGCAGAGGCTGGTGGAAGAAGAAGAGTGTTTCTCTGGCTAGAGGTCCACAACTAGTGGTGTTCCTCAGGGATCTGTACTGGGACCTCTGCTGTTTGTAATTTATCAGTGGCTTGATGAAAGCATAGATAAGTGGTTTAGTAAGTTAGCAGGCGACAGATTGGAGGAGTTGTGGATAGTGTAGAAGGCTGTCAAAGGATCCAATGGGATATAGATCAGCAAGTGTGAGGTGCTGCACTTGGGGAGATCAAATATTAAAGGTAAAATATACAGTTAATGGCAGGACCCTGAACAGCATTCATGTACAGAGGGATCTTGGGGTTCATGGTCCATGGGTCCCTGAAAGTGGCCACACAGGTCGATAGGGTGGTGAAGGCAGCATAGGCATGCTTGCCACAGCCGATAGTGGAATTTGAATTCAATAAAATATCTGGAATTGAAAGTCTAATGATGACCAGGAATCCATTGTCAGTTGTCAGGAAAAACCCACCTTGCTCACTAATGTCCCTGAGGGAAGGAAACTGCCATCCTTACCTGGTCTGGCGTACATGTGACTGACTCTTATCTGCTCTTCCTCATCCCGTTAATTAAATAAAAAAAGAACATGGTACGAGCTATAAAGGAGGCTGGAAAAAATAGGGGATGTTTTCTTGGGAATGGAGGATGAGGGGAAACTTGACAGATGTCTATAAAATTATGAGATGCATAGATAGGGCAGAGTCAGAATCTTTTTCACAGAATTGAACTGACTAATACTAGGGATGGGTTCAAAGGGGATGAGAGGGGTAAGTTTTTACAGGAGGAGTCTGGAACATGCTGCCAGGGGTAGTGGTACAGGCAGATACAATGGGGTGTTTAAAGGGATTTTTAGATAAGCACGAGTAAGCGAGGAATATAGACCAAGGGCATACAGAAGGGATTAGTTAAATTTAGCATCATGTTTGGTACAACATGGTGGGATGAAGGGCCCATTCCTGTGCTGCACTGTTCTGTGTTCTATTAGGCAACGCAGAAAGAATAAAAAGCAGGCGGCTATGCTGGAATTGTATAAAATTTTGATTACGGCATAGCTAGTGTGCCATTCTGGAACCCACATTATTCGGAAGGACGTGATAGCATTACTGGAGATTGAAACTGGTTTTAGGATTTGATCTCTGTGGGAATTTCACTGAGAATGAAATTAGAAATGGATAATATTTACTCAAATGCAACTGGTAGTAAAACTAGGTTTTAAATCCATATTACATAAATGCTGGCGATGATCTATAACATACATGTCAGGTGAATGATACTTGTACCTAGGTACTTTGTACTTGAGATGGCATTGTGGGGCAACATTGTAAACTTTTCACTGTACTTGAATACGTGTGACAATAAACCAAATTCTAATTTTAACCTAGTACAAGCTATTTTGCACCACCACTGAACAAGTAGCATGGTTTTGTTCACTAATTAGGTAGTGAAATAGCAATATGCAGCAGCAACAGATCCCTTGGTCCAATTCATCCATGCCAACCAAGTTTCTCAAGCTAAACTAATCCCACTTGTCCACATTTAGCCCATATACCTCTAAACCTTTTTCATGTACTTTTAGGAACCCAACTACCTGCATCTACCACTTTCTCTGGCAGTTCATTCCATATATGAACCACCCTGTGAGAAAGCTGCCCCTCAGATCCCATTAAATTTCTCTGCCCCCCACCCCCCACCCCCCCAGGACAGGCAGAAGTCTACAGCAGAGCAATGGGGGCATTCATAAAGGTGTGCGGCAAGTACAGGTCCAACATGCATGCTTAAGGGAAGTGTAGCTGTAAGTTTGAAGAACCCTGGGTGTCTATGACAGTTCAGGACAGAATAAAGAGTAGGGCTTTTAACAGGTCCAAAAGGAGCAATTCAGCTGTAGAACTGGAGGAAAACAGGCAGTGTTTTTGGGGGTGGGGTGCAGGACTAAAGAAACCAGTTCAAAGAGCAAATAAAAAGGGGGCATGAGAAAACTGAACAGGATTAGGAGAATCAAAAATATTTTATTATAACAAAGGGAGGTGGTTAACTAGGGAAAAAAAAAAGGGCTGCCCATGAGGAAACCAAGAGTGCAACCTGTGTTAAGTGCATGATATGGTGAGGGTTGGAATGAACACTTCTCTGCAGTCTTCACTCTGGGAAAGGAGAATGCAAGTATGGAATTCAGGATAAAGAAGGGACCGAGCAACTTGCACAGTTTAATACAGGAAATGGGGAGGTATCGGAAGTTCCGTTGGGCTGAAAAATTGAAATCCCCTGGCCCGGATTAATGGCATCCCAGGCTGCTATGGAAGGTGGGGGAGGAAATTGCAGGGGCTCTGAAATTTTTAATTCCTCTCCAGCCACAGGGGAAGTGCTGGAGGACAGCTAATGTGGTTCCACTTTTTAAAAAGAAGTGGTAGAGATGAACCAAATTTACAGACTGGCAAGTTTCAGCGCAGCAAAACAACTGGAGAAAAAAGTCTGAAGGAGCGAATTAATATGCAGTTGGAAAGGCATGGATTAATTACAGATCTTAAGCATGGCTTTGTTAGAATTTTTTTGAAAATGTGATCAAGTGTGTGGATGAGAGAAGTTCAATTGATGTAGATTATATGGATTTTAGCCATGCTTTTGACAAAGATCACACATGGAAGACACATGAAGGGTAAAGCACATGGACTTCAGGATGAAGATGTTAAACAAATTCACAGACACAATCAAGATTGGTAGAGTGGTTAATAGCAAAGATGGCTGTACGTTACAGGAAGACATGAATGGTTGGTCAGGTGGGCAGACCGTATTTAAC